GAGAGAGAGAGACATACGTGTTGTTGAATTTTCTCTAACACATTTGCCAAAAAAAACACAGCTCCCTTCAAATTTATAGGCAATTATATTATAAACATCTTTAGCAATTGTTGTCTACCATGCATGCGGCCTAAAAGCACAGTCATATATTGTACTTTGCTACAGTCAAATAGGTACTTTTAATACTTGTGTTGAAATCTCTTCTAACAATGTTATGAATGAAATCAGATTCGTCCTGCCAGTAGAAAGCATATGAAAACATTAGTGAAATTACGTTAGAGAAATGAAATCAGATTATAATTCCAGTTAACAAACTATGAATTTTTCAAAATAAAAATAGTCGAACAGAATTGAAACAAAACATGCTCTTGTGGCTTTTTCAAACAAAATTGAAGGAATTAGTTTGAAGTCATATCTTCATGAAAACAATTTGGTTAATCTTAATTATGTAATACTAGCCTCTCCGCAGGCGCGGTACTTTTTTCAAACAAAATTGAAGGAATTAGTTTGAAGTCATATCTTCATGAAAACTATTTGGTTAATCTTAATTATGTAATACTAGCCTCTCCGCATGCGCTTCCGCGCCTACGAGATGCCTTTTTTTTTCTTTTTCTTTTTTTGTGTTTAAATTTTTAAATTTATTTAAGAATTAAAAAAGATAATGGGTAGTTGTGATCCATAAAAATAAGATCCATTATTTGATTTTTCTTTTAATTTTAATTTTTTTTAAATATGAAAAAGTGTGAATTTACCATATTATCCTTATTTACCAAGGGAATTTTCTGGTATTTGGAATGTTTTACCATTCTTTGCATTTTGCTTTATATATATAGATAACGATATCATATTTCATATATTTGTTGTCTAAAGCAACCCAAAAAGTATCGTTGTCGCTGAAAGGCCCTAACCCAATAACAGATTTTGGTTCACCCCTTTCTCTATCTCTCTGCAACTGCAAGCCCTACTGTAAAACTATGGAGGACCATTATATGCTCGGAAGTTCGGAGGAGACACTCCGCAACCAAGGACGTGAATATTGAGAAATAATAATTAAAACACAATTACTAATGAAAGTATTTAAATAAGTAGTTGATATTATCAAATCACATTGTGACTTGGATTTAAGTTTCAAGGCTAAAATCTATTTTTGGAATACTAAAATACTTGGGTACCAAAACTAAATTTCCAGGATTTTTATTAAAATATTTAATACTAATTATTCACTAATAGAATAGTCGGGGGACTGTTCTCTACAAATAGAATATTTTAAAAGTATAGCCGGTCGGCTCTAGTATACAAACAGAATATTTTCACAGTATAGCCGCGCGGCTTTACGTTAGGAATAGAATAGAATATGTTAGAGGTATAGCCGGTCGGCTTTACTTTGTAAATAGACTATTTTAAAAGTATAGCCGTGCGGCGATACTCTTTAAATAGAATACTTTTGAAGTATAGCCAAGCGGCTATACTCTTTAAATGGCATAATCATGATTTATCTTTTCTAATTACTTTATTTAGTAGTTACGTTTTAATTATTACTAGTCTCTCCGCACGAGCTTCAGTGCCTGCAAGATGCCCTTTTTAGAAAATTTATTTTAAAATTAAAAAAAATAATGGGTAGTTGTGTTCCATAAAAATTGGATCCATTGTCTTTTTTTACATTTTTTTTAATTTAAAAAAGTATGAATTTACCATATTACCCTAATTTAATTAATGACTTCAATTCTTAATGTTTGCATTAACTAGTAATTTGAATGTTTGCATTTACCATATTACCCTAGTAATTTGAATGTTTCACCATTCTGTGTCTTTTACTTTATATATACTAGCCTCTTTGCATGCGCTTCCGCGCTTGTGAGATGCTTTTTTTTAAAAAAATTTAAATTTATTTTAGAATTAAAGAAGATAATGAGTAGTTGTATTCCATAAAAATAGGATCCATTATCTGATTTTTCTTTTAATTTTAATTTTTTTTTAATATGAAAAAGTGTGAATTTACCGTATTATCCTCATTTAATTAATAATTTTGATTCTTAATGTTTGCATTAACCAAGGACATTTTTTGGTATTTTGAATGTTTACCATTCTCTGCCTTTTGCTTTATATATATGGATATATATATATATATATACTAAATATTTTATTAAATTAAAGATACTTAATTGATTTTTTTTAAAAAAATTAAAATTAAAAAAAAACTCCCTAGACAAAAGTTCGTCGGAATAGATCCGATCTATCCCGACAAACTTTTGCCGGATTAGACTTCTCTCGACGACCGTTCGTTGGCAAAGGTGAGTTTCGTGGGGAAATGTCTAATCCGGCAAATATTGCTAGCATAGACCTGTGCCGAAAACATTTCATTGGGAGAGATTTTCTTGCTTTTTTATTTATTTATAAAATTTAAACATATAAAATTAATTTCTTTACTTTTATTTTTTGGCCAACATCTTTAATTTAATATATGGAATTAAGTAATATCTTAGTCTTTTTTAATTATTATTTAATTAGTGAATATTTAAATATTTTATTTATTTCATAAATTACTTAATAAATAGTAATTAATCATTTTAAATTATTTTGTGGACTATGCTTTTATTTTATTTTTCTACAAAATTAGTTTGGGTAAATCCAAGTTCCACTCCCCTAGGCCCACCTTGCATATAGCACGTGTCGGAAGACTTCTACTTATAAAGAGTTGATACATTCTCTTCTTTTCCAATGTGGGTCTCAAGTTCATGTATTTCAATCAAGCGCCAACAAGTAGTTGATATTATCGAATCACGTTGTGACTTGGATCTAAGTTTTGAGGCTAAATTCCATTTTTCGAATACTAAAATACTTGGGTACCAAAACTAAATTTCCAAAATTTTTATTAAAATATTTAATACTAATTATTCAATAAAGAAATAATAATTAAAACACAATTACAAATGAAAGTATTTAAATAAGGCTAAGATATTATTTAATTACTAAAAAGGCAACTTTTTTAAAAAAAAAGTTAAAAAGAATAGTTTAAGAGTATAGCCGCACGGCTATACTATTCAATTTAAAGCGTATAGCCGGTTGGCTGTCCTAAACAAATAGAATATTTTAACAGTATAGCCGTGCGGCCTTAAGAATATTTAAAAAGTCTTGCCGCACGGCTTTGCTCTATAATATGTTAGCAGTATAGCCGTACGGTGTCACTCTGTTAATAGATTATTTTAACAGTATAGCCGCCCGGATATACTCTTTAAATATCATAATCTTGATTTCTCTTTTCTAATTACTTTATTTAGTAGTTATGTTTTATTACTTAGTGAATAATTAGTATTTATATATTTTATTAAATTAAAAATACTAAACTGGTATTTTTTAAAATTTAAAAGTAAATAAATTATAAAAAATAAAAAAACTCCCGTGACGAAAGTTTGCCGGATTAGACCTCTCCTGACAACTTCGTTGCCACTGGTGAGTTGCGTCAAGAGAGGTCTAATCCGGCAAATATTGCAGGCATAGACTTGTGCCGATCGTCGGGAGAGATTTTCTTGCTTTTTTTTTTTACTCCTTAACATTTGCAAGAAAACAAGTAGCTTCAAATTGACAAGACAGCCGGTGAAATAATTCATCATCAAGGCTTCTCAGCGAATTCTTGCCCCAAATTCCTACAGTGCACACACCCGGTGAATCAATGCATAATAACGATTCAATTTCCTCAATTTGCCTTAATCGAAATGCATCGACTTCCACGGAATCAGTGGCGGATCTGTGTAAAGGGCAGGGTGGGTGCCCGCCCATCCAAAGTTTTTATTATTATTTAAAAACCTATATATGTTATATGGGCAGCCCAACTTTAAAAATTTAAAAAGCTAACCCAATGTACACACACGCCCATCCAACTTCAAAGTGGTCCCAGCTTTTGTCTCTTTCTTTTGGCGCAGCTTTTCTCTCTTCCATTCTGCAGACCCAACGACAACAACAGCTTCCTTTTTCCCTTTTTATTTTCTGCATCTTCCTATTATATTGGCTGGGCAGTGGGCAACTTGGCAAATTCTTGTCCTCTTCTTTCTACAACAACAAGTAATTTCTAATTCTCTCATTTTCTATATGTCTTTAATTATAGTTTTAATTTAAAATTCAATATTCTAGGGTTTACTTAGAGATTGAATTATAATTTTGTGATTTTGTTGAAATTAATTAGGGCTTTGATTTTAGGAATTTTGTTGAGATGTTTCAATGTTTGATTTGTTCTTTGTTGATATTGTTGAGATGCTATTATTATTAGAATTTGTTTGATTTTTTGTTGGTATGTTTGATTTAAATTATTTATTTTACATGTTATTCATAGGTTATCTTTGATTATGTCGGATCACAATCGGAATCCCAAGAGAACAAAAAACTTGTTCTCTTTTTTTAAGAAAAAGAATGATGGGTCATCATCTAGTACATTGCCTTCTAGCTCTTCTTTATCTATTCCAATATGTGATGAGCAAAATCTTCCCGAGTCTCCTATTATCAAGCCTCAAGTTGAAAGAATTGAATCTGAAAAAGTCGATGATTATCATGATTTTAATATCAATTATCTTGAGCGTGATCCGGGATTACGTCGTCTAATATGCACATATCCGGTGAATGAACAAGATAATGTGCGAAAAGAATATATTCTTTTAGGACCATGTCAACCTGAGTTAGAAGATTATCCAAGCCACTTAGAAGGGCGGGACTTTCGTCGATTTAATAAAAAGTGGTTTGGTCAATTCACTTGGCTTGAGTATTCAATTGCTAAGAATAAGGTATTTTGTTTTCCTTGCTTCATTTTTTACATGAATCAGTCACATCCAACCTTTATTGTTGATGGGTATCAAAAATGGAAGAGAATTGGTGGGAATCAATGTGCATTTCAACATCATATAGGCAAGTTAAATTCACCACATCATCTTGCTATGCAAAAGTGGATTAGCTTAAAAACTCCATCTCTTCATATTGAAAAAGTGGTAGAGAAGCAATCAAAGCAACAAGTGATGGAAAATCGGTTGCGACTTACGACCACAATAGAGGGCATTAGGTATCTAGCGAATCAAGCATTGGCTTTTCGGGGCCACGATGAATCCGTTGACTCATCTAATCGGGGCAATTTCATTGAAATCATAAAGTCTATTGCAAGAATGAATATAGAAGTTGAGAAAGTTGTCCTTGATAAGGCTCCTCAAAATGCTCAATACATTGCGCATGACATACAAAAGCAAATCTTACATATTTTTGCTAACAAGGTGAGGAAGACAATTTGTAAGGAACTTGGGAAGAACAAATTTTGTCTTTTAGTTGATGAATCACTTGATGAATCCGGTAAGGAACAAATGGCTATTATTCTAAGATTTGTTGATTGTGATGGATTTATTCGTGAGCGCTTCTTCGATATTGTGAGTGTTGTAGACACTAATGCCTTGACTCTTAAAAAAGAGATATGCAAAGTGCTTGGTAATAACGACATTCTAGTGGAAAACATGCGTGGTCAAGGGTATGATGGTGCTAGTAATATGCGTGGTTCATGGAATGGCTTACAAGCATTATTTCTTCAAGATTGTCCATATGCATATTATGTGCATTGCTTTGCCCATCGCTTGCAATTGGCATTAAATGGTGCAGCTAAAGATGTGAAAGTTTTATGGAGGTTTTTTTCAATGTTGACTAACATTGTGAATTTTGTTAGTGCTTCTGCTAAGCGCCGTAGTGAGTTAAACTTAATTAGAAAAGTTGAACTCAATGGGTTGTTGGATTCTGGAGAACTTGAGACAGGTAAAGGACTTAATCAAGCTCGTAGTTTGAAATGAGCTGGAGCCACTCGTTGGGGCTCTCATTATGCCTCTATTACAAGTTTGATGTGTTTATTTAAAGAGACTAAATTACTTCTTCAAGAAATCAGTGATCATGGACCAAACCAACAATTTCGTGGAGATGCTGAGAGTAACTATATTGCTATGATGTCTTTTGAGTTTGTGTTTTCATTGGTTTTGATGGATAAAATTATGGGATTGACCAATTTTCTTTGTCAAGTATTTCAGGCCAAAACTCAAGACATTGTAAGTGCTTTAAATTTTGTTGACAACACAAAAATGCAGCTTCAAGATATGAGGGTACATGGTTGGGATGATTTATTCTGTAGTGTGGTATCATTTTGTGAACTACATGGTGTTGATGTTCCTGATATGAGTGCTCGTTATATGACGGGCACACATCGTTCTTGTCAACAAAAAGATTTTATTACATTTGAGCATTACTATCGCGTTGATGTATTCAATGATGTTATAGATTGCATGTTAAGGGAGTTGAATGACAGATTTCCAAAGCAAACAGTTGAACTTCTTATTCTTAGCTCAGCATTGGATCCTCGCAATTCATTCAAGTCATTTAATATTGACCATATATGTAAACTTGCTGAGAAATTCTATCCTGCTGATTTCCTTCCAAATGAGTTGAAAGATTTGGAAATAGAGTTGAGGTATTTTCAAAATGATGTACATCGCCTTCCTTGCTTTAAGGAAACCAACACTCTTCCTCATTTATGTCAACAATTAGTTGAAACAAGTTTGGTAGAGAACTATTGTTTGATCAACAGGTTGATTCGGTTGGTGTTGACTCTTCCCGTTTCTACAGCAACAACGGAACGAGCTTTTTCATGTATGAGAATTATTAAGAACCGGCTTCAAAGCACCATAGCTGATGAGTTTCTTGCTGATTGCATGACCCTTCACATTGAAAGAGAGTTTGCTAATAGTATCACTAATGCATCGATAATTGAGGAATTTAAGATTTCTAAGTCTCGCAGGGTAAAATTTTAGATTTAACTAGTGATGTTTTGTATTACATTTACTTGTGGTTTTTTTTTTTTTTTTGTTGTTAAGCTTTTATTTATGTATAGATGTATTTGAGGGTAAGGCTTATTACGTCTCCCCTGACTAGGTGTATCTTTTTTTATTATTAATGAAATTTACTCGTTCCGTCGAGTTTAGTAATGTAAATTCCGCCCAACTGGCTTTTCAATCCTGGATCCGCCACTGCACGGAATCACTTGAAGAAGATGTGCGATTCAGTTTGGTCAAAACATCTTCGGCAACTTTCTCAATGAAATCAGACTCCGTCCTGAAAAAAATATGATCATGAAGAACAAAGAATAATATTTAGTAGCAGATATGAATTAAATAAAAAAATATTCATTAATAATAATATTTAGTAAACTACCCCTTAACGATTCTTGTATATAAATATGAATGAAATGGTCACAAAGACTTACCCTGTTCTTTTTGAATTATCAAAGCCAGACATATTGGCTGCTTCCTTCAAGGCATTTCACCACATGAGCACTTTGTCCATGTTGTCCTCGAAACGTTCTTCAAATTGAGCAAATGCATCTGCATAACTCTCCTGTTGTTTCCGTACCTGATGGATCTATGCCGTAAAAAATGGGTATGACAATTTGTCCGTATCTTTTTTTGCATTCCAATATGTGTGCGCAAGTTCATCCAAACACCACGTGGAAAAAGCATAGTATTTTTAGAAAACAATTAACGAAACCTTTGATTTCTCGATCGCTTGCAAGAGGGCAGGTCCAATTTTGTCCCCCATCCCAAGTTTGTCATCCATGTAGGTCTCAATTTTCTTGCGACCTAAAGCAGCTTTGAGATGGCTAGTAAAAGTCCCCGATATTTGCACCTCTGAAACTTATAACACATCGTACTTTTGTGGAGGGGGTGATAAGCCTATATTTTATATATATTTTATGTCTCCTTTGCTTATTTATTGGTTAATTTCCTTGGATTAAATTGGTTGTTTTTAATTGGCTTTGTGAGATTTGTGAAGGAATTGTGAAATAGGAGAAAGTGTGCTAAAAATGGTAAGAAGATGAAGATTGGAGATTAATTAAAAAGAAGCCAAGTCATTCCTTTTGTTGCAAGGAATGTTATATCAAATTTCCTAATTCAAGATGGTTCAAGTCTTATCAAGTAAAATAAGGAGAAATAAAGAAGACCTTATATTAGAAGGAATCCTATTTCTATAACAATTGTAATTATACCTTAGGTAGGATTTCTAGGAGTTTTATAAATAGGGAATTTAGGTCTTTGTTCAAATCCTCCATTACCCATCATCCATCCTCCATCATCTACCATCAAATTCCTACACATTCATACTCATAGCTGAAACACTCAAATGAGAGAGAGAGTTTTAGAGAGACAAAGAAGACGACCTGAAGCTAGAGTTGCTGTCTTGCAGAGATCAAATCTTCAATTGGTTTTTTCTTTCCTATGATACTATTTATCATGGTTTTTATTAAAGTTGTCATGGACGAATTTCTTTTTGCTAGGGCTACGATGTAGCCTAGCCATGAATACTCAATTACTTTAGTCAATGTCAATTCCAAGTATTTTTCCATGTTGAGTATCTATTACCATGCTTAATGCTTTGAATGTTTGGCCAACATTTAATTGTTTTGATGCTAAATTGACAATAGGGATATCCAATTTGGGGTTGCTTCTTGTAATAAATGCCATGAGTTACGTGATTAGACAGGGATGTTTGTCATGAGTTATGTGGTTGTTTTGTAGGTTTTCCAAGGAATTTAATGGGTTCTTATTATCTTAATTCCATTACTAGGGATAGAATGGGTTGGTAATAAGAATACTTTTGGTATAACCAAGGATGAAGTATTGAATTAAGTAGGGAAAATCAACTGTCAACATGGAGAATAATTAGGATTAACATGCTAAGGGAATTGGGTAGAATTGGCTATGGTGAAATTGGAAGCTCTAGTGCTCTCATAACTTTAATCTCACTACTTTATTTTTCTACACTTGCTTTTATTCATTGTTTTAGTTAATTAATCAATCGAATCTCATCATCAATTGTTCAAATAAAGTCTTGGGTTAATCACAATCGGTACTTAGTAAATTAAATCACTCTTCGTGGGAACGACACTTCACTCATCACTGTATTACTTATGTGAATTGTGCGCTTGCAATAAATTTCACAACATGGGGATTAGCAAAAGGAGAAGGAGGAGAAGAAGAAGAGGATGAAGCCATATAAAAAACCTACAAACCCTACAAGAGTACTCAAAAGGATTGAAGCCTATGCACCTCAGAAATGAGGCTAGCTAGCTAATATATAATATTCAGCAGAGATAAACACGTAAAAATGAAATTACCAAGGACTGGATCAACTCAAATGAAATGAGTGAATAAATCAACTCTTGATGGCTTGTGGAAGAGATACTGGCACCCCCCCAACCTTAAAATACCTGGCAAACGGGTCGTTTTAATGAGTTTCGGGTTGTGTTTGTGTTAACCCGTTAACTTAACGGGTTGACATGATACGACCCGTTAAGCTAACGGGTGAGAAATACCAGACCCAAACACAACCCGTTACAATTCGTGAATGATCCGACACAACCCGTTAAGAATAAACAAGGAGAGAAAAAAAATATCACCCAACCAGCCAGCAACCCTCTGCCCTTTTTGGCCCAATTTGCATCTTTCATAAACACCGTCCAGAAGTCTACAAGTTTAGGATTAGTCTTGTGCATAAAGATAAAACAAGAGAAACAAAATAGTTGGTTGATTAGATTATTTGTATATAAAAAAGAAAGAGAGGGATAGAAGAAGAAAAGAAAAAAGTGAGAGATTGAGAGACGTAAAGAAGAGAAGAAAAAAAAAACAAAGAGGGGGAGATGAGAAAGTTGACGGAGAGGAAGAGGAAGGAAAGAAAAATAATATAAAAAAGAGAGAGAGGGAGAGATGGAGATAAGGAAAAGAACAAAGAATATATATAAAATAGGCATGCGTCTTTGTTTGTTAGCAGAGCTGGTCCATTGATTTTGGAGGCCCTGTGAAAATATAGATGTCGAGGCCCTATATATACAAGTAGGAAAAAAAAAATCCATATAGAAACAAAAATTTCTGACACGGGAAGAACACATTCGGAAAGAGCTTCCCATAAAAATTTCTTTAGTCACCCTTCCAAATCACATAGCTGATAAATTGATTTTCCAATTTCAATGCTTGGTGAATTCTCATGGGAATAAGGGAGGGAGAAAAGAACTGTGATTTCGAGGAAAAGGCTAAAGCTTGGATTTTTACAATACAAAATTTGATGGAAGAGGGTGGTACACTAGTACTGAAGAGAAATGGCTTTATTTTGATGGAGGAGAGTGAGAAAGACTTACTGAAAGAGAAAATAATATTAGAGTGGTTTTGCAGCTTGAGAGTTGGGAAGAGGAAAACACAAGATTCAAACCATAACAAATAAATAAAAAGAAGAGTTGCAGCGTGAGAGTTAAGAAGAGGAAAATGAATTAAATTAGGGCCTCTACTCTCTAAGTTATAGAATTTGTAGCTAATTAATATTCAATTCAATTTTGGTTTTGGTGCCTTGCATGTGGTGTTGTGGGGTGATATTTAATATTTCATTATTATTTTCATGTTTTAGTTAATTTAATGGGTTGACTTGGAAAAATTTGGAGGCCCCTATATTTTGGGGGCCCTGTGCGCACACCTTGCACACCCCGTGGGCCGCCTCTGTCTGTTAGTATAGGGGATTTAAATTATTATTTTACAAAATTATAGAATTACCTCTTTAAAAGGTGGATGCGAATATTCGCGAATTGACCCAACACGATCCGTTAGTTTAACGGGTGGTTAACAGATTCACCCGTTTTCAACCAGACCTATTAAGCTCAACTCAAATATTTATAATTTTATGCGAATTCGTGTTGTATGCACAGGTCCTGTGCAATATTGTTGGGGCCACGTGACGTGACTTTTCCAAATCATTGAAAGAAGCTTCTACTGGAAGATTTCTAGGAAAACGAGTTGAATGGTTCAGCACTAGAAAGCAGTTGCAGAGCCGTTGCCTTTCTTATTAGGAAGGAAGCAATAGATTGTTGCAGTTGCAAGAAATTACAAAAGGTGGACCCGAATATAAACTCAGACTAATGGCGAGACGATAAAACTCCCAATCAGACGGGAAAGTTTTGGGTATGAGGCTTGTGCAATGAAAGTGAACTTTGTTAACTTCACCCTGGATGAAAGTCAACTGTACTATACTATGTGTAATTCTTAGTCTGTTTTTTTTTAGGCTTCTTAGATCTATGTCCAAAATGATTAGCTATCATTGAATTTAGTCCACATGTTTTTGGTTTTAGATGTAGGTCCTTTGACATTTATTACTTTTTTTGCTGTGTCTTTTTTACCATTGAGGTAAATAAAGAAAACACATTGAAAATCTAAATTTAATGCATTATTTCCTTGTAATTGAATTTCAGAATTTAAATTTTGAATTCTTTCCTTCATAATATTTACCTATATATGGATGAAATACAATATAATCAATGAAAAATAAAGACCCATATATTATACCAATTATTCAGGTAAGCACTCACATGAAATTATGTACCTAACATATAGGTAAATAGTGTTATTATTAGCAATGGAAAAAATTTAGTTATAACTCGTGTTACCTATAAGTCATGAACATAAATTAAAAGACTACCTATAAGTTAGGAACATAAATTAGAACATTGCCTATAAGTTAGATACAAAAATAGATGCTGCTATGGTCCCCAAGAAAAGTTGCCAACACTACTAAAAAAAGGCTAGAAAGAGATTGAGGGTTATCAGTCTCTTTTGCCTTCTTTAGGGACTGAAAAGTCCCTATTGTAGTATTAGGGACTGATGTATATCAGTGTCTTTTAAAGGAGTCCTCTATTGATATTTTGTCACTGATTATAAATCTCAGTGCCTAATGTTTGCAATGGGTCCCACATTTTCGTAATACCCAATACACGTTAAAGTATTCTATTAATGAAATACATCCGTGCCTAATGCATTCCCTTGGCACTGAAGATCAGTGCCTAATGACTTCTATAGTAGAAAAAAAAATAAAAAAATTGACGCCTTTTGTCTCGTGCATAGACGCCGTTTTTCACTCATGAGCAAGTGATTTTTACAAATAAAATAATTGAAACACAAATTTCATATATTAGCGATTACTTCCGCTACATTTATGGGACACTTACAATAACGAGGAAACTACTAGAAATTTATAATTCCAACAACACTTGGGGTAGGGAACTGATTCAATGAGGAGAGAGAGGTTTTTATTTAAATGCTCTAGGATATGTTTGTGATATTTTCCTTTTCTATTCAATACCAGTCATAAATGGCTAATTATTATCATATTAACCGATTTAAGGCATAATGGATAACATTGGAACAAAAAATGATTTAAAAATATAAAAATAAAAAGATTACATTAGAAAATATTTAAAAATGAATGTAATCTTATGTGGCACAAGAGTCAAAGGACTTGTATCAAAGTCGCCAAATCCAAGATTAAGCCCAACTTTTCAATGAAAATTTGGATCTATATCAATTTTTTTTTTTTTTTTTTTGGATACCAACTTAGTTTTATAGTTTTGAATATAAAACCATTTAACCACTCAATTATACAATTGTAATTTTAGTATTTCCATACACTCATATAATACTAAGCCACTTGCTTGTCATCATATTTGCGAAGCAACTTCCTGCTTTGTGATAATTGATGGTAGTGGTGATATTTTTTTTTTTGGTCAAATGGTAGTGGTGATATTATATGCCCGCAAGTGGTTAATTGATCATAGCGCGGTTAAGGCTGCAGGATGGAGGTGATGTAAAGAGATATAATTAATTTGTAAATGAGAGATGCATGTGAAATTGTGAACAAAATGAGGAAGATTACAATTGGCCAGCAGAGTGGTTGGGTTGGGGTAGTTGCTCACTCACCTACTGGTGTACGTACGGTGCGGCTAAGGCTGCAGCCCTATCTCTGACGGAAACACCAATCTTCATTGCCGATGAAATCAATCTGTACTTACGACTAAACTTGTAAATCTTATCATGATGAACAGTTTTCTTAAGTAGACTCCTCTCACTAGTTGTTATAATGATTCTACTTCCAGGGCCAAACTTATGATGACCACCACATGCTAGATATTCTATCTGGCTTGAATCATTCACATCATCAAGAACAATGAGGACCTTTGTACGACTGAGCCTTTCTCGAATAAACGGGGATACAGATGGAGTGTCGATACTTAGATCTTTTTCGTTTAATATCTCACGAAGAAGTACATTTCTCAAGTGATTCAGTCCTTGTCTTTTTGACTCCTCCTTAACATTTGCAAGAAAACAAGTAGCTTCAAATTGACCAGACAGCCGGTGAAATAATTCATCACCAACGGTCTTCAGCGAAATCTTGCCCCAAATGCCTACAGTGCAAACACCTGGTGAATCAATGCATAATAACGATTCAATTTCCTCAATTTGCCTTAATCGAAATGCATCCAATTCCACGGAATCACTTGAAGAAGATGTGCGATTCAGTTTGGTCAAAACATCTTCAGCAACTTTCTCAATGAAATCAGCCTCTGCCCTGAAAATGAAGAACACAGAATAATATTTAGTAGCAGATATGGATTAAGCCATTTGGTCATGAGATGTCGCTTATATAAGAAAAATATTAATTAATAATAATATTTAGGAACTAGCCCTTAGCGATTCTTGTATATATAATAATGAAATGGTCACAAAGCGTTACCCTGTTCTTTTTGAATTATCGAAGCCAGACATATCGGCTGCTTCCTTCAAGGCATTTCTCCACATGAGCACTTTGTCCATGTTGTCCTCGAAACGTTTTTCAAGTTGAGCAAATGCAACTGCATAACTCTTCTGTTGTTTCCTTACCTGTGATGGATCTATGCCGTAAAAAATGGGTATGACAATTTGTCCGTATCTTTTTTTGCATTCCGATATGTGCGCAAGTTCATCCAAACACCACGTGGAAAAAGCGTAGTTTTTCGAGAAAACGATTAATGAAACCTTTGATTTCTCGATCGCTTGCAAGAGGGCAGGTCCAATTTTGTCCCCCATCCCAAGTCTCTCATCCATGTAGGTCTCAATTTTCTTGCGACCTAAGGCAGCTTTGAGATGGCTGGTAAAAGTGTCCCGGGTATCTGCACCTCTGAAACTTATAAACACATCGTACTTTTGTGGAGGGGGATTAGCAAAAGGAGTAGAAGAAGAAGGAGTAGAAGAAGAAGGGAATGGGGATAAGAAGAAGAAGAAGAAGAAGAAGAAGAAGAAGAAGAGGATGAAGCCATACTAAAAACCTGCAAAACCCTGAAAGTTTTCAGAAGGATGAAACCTCGATGC